TAATAATGCAACGGTCAACTATTAAATATTCAATATCATACTTTTAGTTTTTGTTTTGTTTTGATATCTGGTAAAATATCTAAGTTTTAGAAGTAGGTAGAATATGCCTGAGAAAGTAGATAAGATATGCCATGGACTCTTACTAGGTAGCAGTATTTGTGACTTTAGTGCTAATAGAACTAGTTTAATCTCAGTCATCAAATTTGTATCATTGGTAATTGTATCATTAGTTGTAGCTGAAACTACTAACAAATTATTCAATTTGCTATACCCAAAGACCATATAATTCGTTACCTTAGGTCTGTCTTAGAACTTCAATTCCTTGGTTTTCTTCAATATTGAAATGGAATGAAATAAAAATATTTTTATTATTATCCTGGGACTGTCCTCCCTTAAAGACAAATTATAGATACAGACAAAATGTCTGTGTGGCCATACATTAAATTAAATATTTAAAAATTTCATTAAAATTAAAATATTGGAAGAAGAAAAAACAAAAACACTAAATCATACAGATATATTTAAAACAAACATGGGAAAGTTAAGAGAATTTTGTGGTCTGAGTCAAAGACTTTGGAGAAGTCGAGGAGAATAAGGATGGGGAGTTTCTGCTGGTCCATCGCTGTATGAAAGTCTAGAGAAATGTTGATGAGGGCAGACTGAGTGGAGTAGCTAGGCCGTAAACCGGACTGGTTGGGATTTAGGAGGTTATTCTGATCTAAAAAGCCGAACTGGGTTTGAACTAGTCGCTCTAAAGGTTTGTGAGGAGAGAAATTGAACGGAAATCATTAAGAGTTGATGGGTTGGAAGTCTACTTCATAGGGCGAACTATTGCGGATTCCCGACTGTATCATCCTGCCTCGATCTCATCCGCTCAGCGCACTCGATATCTTCTGCCTTAAAGTTCAGGCCCAGGCCAGCCCCCCAGGCCCATGGGTGTCTCCCCAGACCTCACCAGGACTCACTTTATTTCAGCCGACCTGGAAGGGTGGATTTGCTCGGACCTGTTGAATCTAATTTCAAGCTCCAACACCTGGGACCTGAGTGCCGCATTTTCCATCATTAGTCCTTCCAACTTCGAATTTGGGTCTCCAGAAGGGTCTCTATTGCTTTTAATTTTTCTGCATTTTCAAATGTTATAGTGGCCTGCTTCTCCAGAGTTATTTTTAATTCCTTTACCTCGCTGGCATTAGCATCGAGGGTGAATTTTAATCCTTTAATCTCCGCCGTTGGGTCTTGGATTGCGGTCATGAGCAGCTGTGACGCGGCGTCGGAGGCAGTTGGATGCTTAGAAGCTGATTTTGCTGGGCTAGAGCACTTATCACTCAAATAAGTACTTTTTGGGGCTTTCACACAATTTGGGCATGCCCAATTCTTCCGTGATACCCTTAATTTTTCAAATTCACCTTCCTCTGCGGTAAGCCATTTGCCATGAAAAATAGCTTGATATTGAGGTACTTGGTAAGTTATCGGAGGCGTGGTTTTTGAAAATACTATATATATCGCTTACTGTGTTAAAACATCCCTTAAAATGAAATTTTAACTTCAATTTTTAATCAGTCTTGGTATGACTTAAATCCTTTTTTGAAATATTATTTCTTTTACGACTTCTAGAACTTTACGACTTTTCAAGTAATATGACTTTTCAGAACATCACTAAAAAAAAAAAACTGTTCTGTTAAATCAATTCATTTCACCAAAAAGTCAATATAAAAAAATGATAATTTTAAAAAAGAATATTTTTAGCTACTCGAACAAAGGATACAAAATTATCACGTAATTCATGTAAGATGAATTTTCTATTTATGTTAGTTTTTCTACTTTCATAAATGTTTTGAATGAATAACTTAATAAATAAAAGTTCTATGAAACTCGAATCCAAAAACTTTCTTGGATAAAAGTTCTAGTTTCAAATGAACAAAATAAAATTATAATAAACCAAAATAAAAATTCCAGTTATACCGAAACTGTTTAAAAATCAAAGTTTTCATTTCAAATCCTGATTTTAACTATTTCTATTACTTCTGCAAAATTCTTCTGGGATGGTTCAGTAGGTTTTCGAGGACACTAATTTACCTATATTTTTCTTTTTCATGGACCCTGAATTCTAAGTTAATGTCGGATTTTCGATTTACTGTTACGGTCTTAAGTTTTCTTCGATTTTAGGATTGTTTACTAGGTTTGTAAAGACACTGAATCAAAATTTACTATTGCTATTAAAGTTTTCTTTGCTGTTGGGATCCTTATTATAAGCTCCTTAAGACGCTGAATACGAATTTTCTATTGGATTTTTAATTGCACATGCTGATTTCGATTTACTATTACTATTGAAGTTTTCTCCGATATTCGGATTTTAAATACATTTTTCTGATTTAGTGTTAATATTTAGTATTAATTGTTGTTTTAGAAGTTCATGTGGTTACATTAAAGTGGTTCAATTACAAATTAGGTTATTGACTAAGTTTTATTTAAAAGAATGTGAGGAGAAGGATTGGCGAATACTGATGGGTTAGTTTTGTTATTCAAGAAATTTCATTTCTTATTATATACTTCTGATATGTTGTCCTTACCTACTGCCCACAATCAGTAGTAGGATTCAAGAAATATGTTATTATTTAGCCATGTACACAGTGATGGGCATATTTATATTCAAAAGTATAAATACGAATACCATTTATATTTATGGTATAAATGATGAATATAAATACGAATATATTCGTATTCATAAAAAGTAATATGAATATAGAAGATATGTATTCACGGCTGTAAATATGAATATGGACCGTATTCACGATTGTAAAAGTGAATACGGCTGTATTTACTCCTGTAAAATTGAATACGGCAGTATTCACGTTTACTAAAATGAATATGCTTAAATTTACAGAAGTGAATGGAAATATTTTCACACAACCTTATTAATGAATACTCTTATTTATTAAAAAAAATTGTATTTATTAAATTATTTATTTAAAAAAATATATTTACTATATATATCATTTTATTTATATATATTTATATTCTTCCTTTTACAATATGTTATGTTAATTCTGTTACAATGTATTATATTATGTTAATTATCACTCGTAATGTTTTTACGTAAAATAAATTCTCGAGCCTTTGTATTTATACTAGTAAAAGTGAATACGGCAGTATTAACGTTTATTAAAATGAATACGCTTAAATTTACGGAAGAGAATGCAGATATTTTTACACAATCTTGTTAATGAATACTCTTATTTATAAAAAAAATGTATTTAGTAAATTATTTATTTAAAAAAAAAATTACTATATATACCATTTATATTTATATATATATCATTATATTATTCGGGCATCGCCTTCCTCCCTCCCCCCAATAAAAATTTTGAGGTGAGAATATTGGAATTTCTTAAAGAGTCGGTACTCTCGTGAAAAAAAAACTTGAAAAAAAATCCTTATCATCCAGATTACAAGAGCCTGCTAAGCAAACAGACTCAGTTTCGCTATCAACATCATACATTGTTCTATATGCAAAACTTAACACATTAAGAAATATATTCACACATTAAACTCTGAACGGTAGGTCCGGAAAGGTCACTATTCAAATTTGACAGCTCTTGCCCCTTTCATTGCTTCAACTTAAGTCTGTCGTGTACACGTATTTCCCGTTGGAATTTCCAGGGTATCGTTCCGAGTGTTGTACCTACCCTGGCCGTCCATTAAACTTATCTTTATTACCATTAGCAGCCCATAAGTAAACAGTGCACCGAAAAGTTTGTACGTCTAGGATCATTGACGTAGGTTTTCCATTCTGGTACGGGAGAGATCCCATCCTCTGGATATAATAAAAAAAATGCTTGAGAATTTATATTACGAACAAACATTCCGAGTGATAATTAACATAATATATTGTAAAACAAAAAATATAATATTATAAATAAAAATAAAATGGGATATATAGTAAATATATTTGTTTTATTTAAACAATTTAATAAATATATTTCTTTTTAAGAAATGAGATTGTGTAAAAATATCTGCATTCACTTCTGTAAATTTAAGCGTATTCATTCAGGCTCGGCAATTTATATTACGTACAAACATTAAGAATGATAATTAACATAACATATTGTATAAGGTAGAATATAATACTATATATTTACATAAATAAGGGTATTCATTAATAAAGTTGTCTGGAAATATTTCCATTCACCATTGTAAACTTAAGACTATTCATTTTAGTACACGTGAATACGGCCATATTTATATTTACATTCGTGAATATGTGATAATTAACATAACATAATACATTGCAACATAATTAACAAAACATATTGTAAAAGGAAGAATATAGTACTATTTATAAAAATAAAATGATAAATATATAACAAATCTATTTTTTTTTTTAAATAAAAAATTAAATAAATACATTTTCTTTAATAAATAAGAGTATTCAAAAATAAGATTTTGTGAAAATATTTCCATTCTCTTCTGTAAATTTAATTGTATCCATTTTAGTAAACGTGAATACTGCCGTATTCACTTTTACAGGTGTAAATACAGCCGTATTCACTTTTACAATCGTAAATACGGCCGTATTTATATTTACAGCCGTGAATACGTATGTTCTGTATTCATATTACTTTTTATGAATACGAATATATTCGTATTTATATTCATTTGCACCATAAATATAAATGGTATTCATATTTATATTTTTAAATATAAATATGCCCATCTCTGGTACACACTGACCGAAACTCGGCCAACTAATGATTTTCATCTACTTTGCTGGCTATGATTTGCTTAGTGTGTTCATGCCTTAAGAATGAAAATTCAAGTTTCATTAATAGAGATATTGAAATAAAAAATAGAAGAATGTGTATTATCTGATAAAATTTCAGATTAGAAGTAAATGAGTCAAAAGAATTATCGATCAATTCAAGTGGATTGGATATCAATGCATTAGTAAGCAGTAAATTTTGAATTGTTCTTTATTGAAATTATCATTGATTTTTTTCCAGATTGCTGCTAAAATTAACCCTGGTGCTAGTTCCGGAGGGGATGTTGGTACAAAACGACCGTTGGATGAAGGGTCAGGTATGGACTGGACAGGTAAAAACATTTTGTGCGTGTGTTTGTTCAAGTTTGTGAGTATATGTGGGCTGTCGTTTGGTAACGGTTTTGGCCTTTAGGTATTTTAGTGTAGTATTCAGGTAGTTCTCTAAAGAGGGTTGAATCATTTAAAAGCCTTTATCACATTTATATATTTTTATAAATGGTCATTATATTATACATTGTTTAGGCTCAATTGCTTGGACGTATTAGACTAGTTATGAGTATTGTCACAGCAGAGCACTGTGACACATGCCTAGTCTTCTCTCCATTAGGTTAATAATGGATTGCTAGTACTTCTCAATACTTTGTGAAGAATTACCTTTAAATACTTTTTGGCTGCTCCTCTTAAATTTAAAACTGAGATTAAACCAGGACTGCTTGAGCCGTACAACATTTGAATTCTTAATGGATAGTCATCGGTTTAAAGAGAGAGGGAGAATTAGCAATTTCAATTCTGCTGTTTCCTTAGCCATTCAATGAGGACCAGTCTCAGACATCCACTAGGAAAACTGTTATCTTTTAATTTCTTGTCCTCTTGTATTCATATTTGTTTTCGAATTATGTGGATCATTTAAAATACAAGAAAAAAATTACCACTTTGTTCTCATTTTTATCGATGAAAGAATTTATTTATAACTTTTTTAGAATAAATAGGTAAACGCAGATTTAAAAAATCTGGTGTGGTGCGCGCATCACACAACTTTCACTTACCACCCACTTATTGGAAGAAATAAGAATTTTGAGACATGGGGGGAGTGAAAGTATACATAATAAACACTATATTGATTTAAATTTTATTGTGGATATTTTTATTTTTTATAATTACCCTTATATATACAAATTTTAATATTTATATTGCTGTAATCTATACAATTAAATATTAAATAATACCAAAAATAGCATTTATGAAAACTGCGTATGTCTATTTACATAAGATTGTCGGAGTCCTTATTATATTAAGCAGTGTTGCCCTTAAGCATTCGGCACTCTCCCCTCCCTCCCCCTAAAAAAATTAATTTATGTCTTAAGCTGTTTTATATTTGATATTTGAATTTTATTTCATTTAACATTTCTCTCATACATTTGTTTTATTGATAGGCTAAAATTAATAACTATAATACGTTTTATATTTTTTTTAATTTCTAACTAGTGGCGAGAGCCCCTGAAGCTCAGGCGGCCCCACCCTAAGGCCGCCACTGATATTAATACACGGTGGGCCAGACCCCCTTACCGTGCACCCTCCCCCACATCCCTATAAATTGCATATCGTTGTGTTCCTTGTGACAATTTATTAAAAAAAAGCCAATGTTCCCACAAAAAAAAGTGAACGCACTGCCCCAAAATGGCGTCTAAAGATGGCGGATTGACGACTTTGACTTTAGTTAGTTTTTTGGTCACTGAGAATCAGCATTTAACTTAATTTCCTCATAGTTGGTCTTTTATTAAAGCTGAATAGTCATAGAATAATAAAACATGAAGAAATATTAAAAAATAATTGGCTTAGGCTACGAAAAACACCAGTAAAGTCAAATATTTTTTCAAAAAATTTTTCAAGTTACAAATCAAGCGTCGTTTGTAATTAAACGGCCTACAATAACGAAAAACGTGCTGAAATAAAACATCTGGAGAATATATTTCTCTTTCTAAAACGCTGATTATTTTTTAAAAAATTTTAAGCGGTTCCGTAGAAAATGTACTTATGCGGCAGAAAAGCGGTACTGGCGTGGGTGCCTACAGGCCTCTACCACACCATTCAGTACACATAAATGGCTTAGTTATAGTGATATAATAACATTTTTGGTACATTATATTGGTTTTATTAACGAACAAATATTAATGCAATAATTTAATCGTAAAAAAAAAAATTAAATTTTTAAAAAAATGTATTATTATTTTTTTTTAATTTAACCTACTTTATTCTATACGTAGATCGTTTAAGAAGACCTCAATTGTAAAAATGATATAATGATAATAATAAAACTTAATTAAAAAATACATTGCTAAATATCTTGATTTTTTTTTATTTAACGTTTGCAATTTAACACCGTGTTTTGTATATTTACTGATTCTTAGAGGTAATTAACATTTTTATATACTTCCCAGGAAATGAGTCATATTAATATCTGTTTTATGAACTAAAATAATATATACCTAATCTGAACTATATATAATGAATAGCTACCGGGTTGTTTAGTAAAACTGATATATCACTAATTAAAAAATTAATTTTTATTTCATTTATTTTGTGCAGAAGTTGGACTATATCATAAATAAATACGAAATTTTAATATTGAATAAATTATTCTCTCTGCACAAAGAATGATAGAAAGGGTGACGCTATAAGTTCTTCTATAAACCAGAACTGATAGTTTGTTCTTGGTATCAAAATGAGGAAAAACGCGAACCAGAAAATTGGAAAAATACAGTAAGCGAACGAGAAAGGAAGTGCCAAAACCTCGGAAAAGATTAAAAGGACAGTATCCATTATATAGCTAAATGAATGTTTAGTAGACAGATGAACAGAATATTTCAAGATGCTGCTAAAAGGGGGTCAATTGCAGTTTGGATGATATTAAGTGAACGATGTATGTTTATTATGGTGAAAACCACTTTATTTTTTATTGCTGAAGGTGCACATCGGGACTATCTTCACTTTGAAGCAGGATATAGAGAGGTATATCGAGAAAGTTATAGCTCATAGATCTCCTTCTGTTTAGTGCATTTGTAAAAGATTTTTTAAGGAATCTAAAAGGAAAACGAGCTTTTCTGAAAGACAATTAGATATTAGCACAATCCAAAGTGTGAGGCACTATGCAGATATAGAGCTATTTTTCTTTTTATATGGACTTCTCTATAACCTGAATTGAAGTGAAGTCCCAATTTTCAACTTCTCTTCCAATGGGTAACTTGAGTTTCTCAATCAATATCGCTCTGGCAATCGACAATATTTCTTATTCCAGCTTCTACGATTCTTGAGTATAATTTGTTTGGTACACTAAACAGGAATGGATCTTGATGGGTATTACATTTCCTAGTATCTCCTTTCTTGTAAAGGTAAAAACCACAGTCCTTTCATATCATTTTCTAATATACTTGTTGCCAATGTACACTCAAAACTGTGCGAAGCATTTCGGTTTCGCCTTTTCCATTTCTTTGTGCAGTGAGAATAATGCATTCAATATTAAAATTTTTTTTTTGATATGGTACAGATTCGGAACAATTTATTCCGCAATTTCTGCACAACAACGAGCTATAGCTAATATAAGATTCCTTAAAAATTCTTTTGCAAATGCACTAAACAGAACTATGAGCTATAACTTTCTCGATATACCTCTCCATATCCTGCTTCAAAGTGAATATAGTCCCGATGTGCACCTTCAGCAATAAAAAATAAGGTGGTTTTCACCATAATAAACATACATCGTTCACTTAATATCATCCAAACTGCAATTGACCCCCTTTTAGCAGCATCTTGAAATATTCTGTTCATCTGTCTACTAAACATTCATTTAGCTATATAATGGATACTGATGTCCTTTTAATCTTTTCCGAAGTTTTGGCACTTCCTTTCTCGTTCGCTTACGGCATTTTTCCAATTTTCTGGTTCGCGTTTTTCCTCATTTTGATACCAAGAACAAACTATCAGTTCTGGTTTATAGAAGAACTTATAGCGTCACCCTTTCTATCATTCTTTGTGCAGAGAGAATAATTTATTCAATATTAAAATTTCGTATTTATTTATGATATAGTCCAACTTCTGCACAAAATAAATGAAATAAAAATTAATTTTTTAATTAGTGATATATCAGTTTTACTAAACAACCCGGTAGCTATTCATTATATATAGTTCAGATTAGGTATATATTATTTTAGTTCATAAAACAGATATTAATATGACTCATTTCTTGGGAAGTATATAAAAATGTTAATTACCTCTAAGAATCAGTAAATATACAAAACACGGTGTTAAATAGCAAACGTTAAATAAAAAAAAATCAAGATATTTAGCAATGTATTTTTTAATTAAGTTTTATTCTTATCATTATATCATTTTTACAATTGAGGTCTTCTTAAACGATCTACGTATAGAATAAAGTAGGTTAAATTAAAAAAAAATAATAATACATTTTTTTAAAAAAATTTATTTTTTTTTACGATTAAATTATTGCATTAATATTTTTTCGTTAATAAAACCAATATAATGTACCAAAAATGTTATTATATCACTCACTATAACTAAGCCATTTATGTGTACTGAATGGTGTGGTAGAGGCCTGTAGGCACCCACGCCAGTACCGCTTTTCTGCCGCATAAGTACATTTTCTACGGAACCGCTTAACATTTTTTAAAAAATAATCAGCGTTTTAGAAAGATAAATATATTCTCCAGATGTTTTATTTCAGCACGTTTTTCGTTATTGTAGGCCGTTTAATTACAAACGACGCTTGATTTGTAACTTGAAAAATTTTTTGAAATATATTTGACTTTACTGGTGTTTTTCGTAGCCTAAGCCAATTATTTTTTAATATTTCTTCATGTTTTATTATTCTATGACTATTCAGCTTTAATAAAAGACCAACTATGAGGAAATTAAGTTAAATGCTGATTCTCAGTGACCAAAAAACTAACTAAAGTCAAAGTCGTCAATCCGCCATCTTTAGACGCCATTTTGGGGCAGTGCGTTCACTTTTTTTTGTGGGAACATTGGCTTTTTTTTAATAAATTGTCACAAGGAACACAACGATATGCAATTTATAGGGATGTGGGGGAGGGTGCACGGTAAGGGGGTCTGGCCCACAGACTATAAGCTCATGTTATGTATGGAAGTATGTTCTAATCTTTCGGGTGCGCTCGTATTCCTTTGGTTCCTCAATTATAACTATTCTCCGTTACCATCTCTTATTTCTCCTTTAGTTAATTATCAAATTCTTTCATATTTTATATTTAACTATCTTTTATATTGAAAATTGATGTGAAATGGGAAGATGTGAGATTAA